CTTTACAAATTCCTCTCCATCCAACAAATTTACTTCATCAGTCTTACCTCTTTCTCTGCCTTGCTGTTTCCTGCCTTGACTATTTCACTTGGTCCTCGTCTCAACTGCACCAGCTTCAGATTTATCTCTTTATTCTCTGTCTCTTTGGGTCCCATCCCCACCCCCTTACTAGTTTAAAGCTTTCTGAGTAGTACTGGCAAATCTCCCCTCCACGATATTGGCCCTCTTCCAATTCAGATGCAAACCATCCTTCTTATACAGGTCACTTCCATTCCAGAAGAGATTCCAATGATTGAAAAATGTGAAACCCTGTTCCCTGCACCAGCTCCTCAGCCACACATTCATCAGCTCTGTCCTCCTATTCCTACTCTCACTAGCCAGCGTCACCGGGAGTAATCCAGACAGAACTACTCATGGAGATCGACCTTTTAACCTTCTGCCTAGCTTCCTATATTCTCTCTTCAGAATCTCGTCCCTTTCTCTTCCTATGTCATTGGTACCAACGTGTACAACAACATCCTGCTCGTCATCCTCCCCTTTGGGAATATTTAAACCCTCAAGACATTCTTTACCTTGGCACCAATGAGGCAACACACTATCGTGATGTCTCCCTGTCGGCTGCAAAAACAGTTGTCAATGCCCCTGACTAGAGAGTCCCCAATCACAATCAATCACCTGTAATGTGACGTACTGCTCAACACAGTAGAGCCAGTCTCGGTACCAGAAACCTGGCTGTCAGTGGTACATTCCCCTGAGATTCAATCAACCCCTACATTTTCCAAGACAGCATACTTATTTGAGACGGGGACAGCCGCAGGAGACTCCTGGACTCGCTGCCTACCCCTCCTATCTGTTCTAGAGGTAACCTATCTACCTGACTATCTCTGCGTTTTTTTTTCTATCTTCTGAAACTGCCATTCATCACACCATCTGGCTCCTGTAAATTCTTCGTTGCCTCTAACTGCCACTCCAACTGATCCATGAAATCTGATAGGATTCACAACCAACACACTTCCTGCATACATAAACATCAGTGCTCCAAACCATGTGCTAATGTTGTGGCCAATACTCCCCGTAAGTTGAATGACTATGAAGTTATACAGAAATCCCATGTGAACATTTAAGATCACTTGCAAATTGTCCACTTAACTTACATGCACAGTCAAATTAAATGAATAGACGACCCTTTCAATCTTCTCACAAAACACATGGGGCATTGATGTTCACTTCTTGTTCTGTATACTCGAAGGGGAACAGGTGCTTTCAGAACCATCCCATCAATATTTAATGTTTTAATGTTTTAATTTTATCGCTTTTCAATCTTCAAAGTTTGACGGAACAAAACCCTGAGTTACACGGTCTTCCTGTATGGAGGTCTATACACTGTCCCCCAGTTTCCAATTTCCAAAGTTAGTTCTCTTGCATACATTTCAGCATGTTCTCCTCCGCTGTGCCTGCTGTAAATGAACATGTGAACAAGAAGTTGAAGTAGCCCATTTAGCTCTATAATCCTGCTTTGCAATTCAATATGATCATGGCTGACTTGATTTTAACTCCAAATCTGCATTTACACCTACCCCTTTCACTACCTGGCTAAACAAGAACATATCAACCTTTGCCATTAAATAAATTAAAGGACTTTGCTTCTACCAATTTTTTTAAAAAACAGACTTGTAAAGACTCACAAAGCTCTGAGAGATAGATAGATAGATAGATAGATAGATGGATAGAGAGATAGATTGATAGACAGACAGACAGACAGAGAAAGGGAAAGATAAAGAGAGAATCGCCCTATTTCTTCACTAATTGGAAAAAAGCTGATTTGCAAATTGTGACTCCTAGTTCTACATTTTCCCAGCAGAGGAAACATCCTTCCCACATCCACTTCGAAATCTTTTATATTTCAGTCAAATTACCTCTTCCTCTTCTAAACTCAAGCAGATATAAGCCTAGCCTGTTCAAGTTTTCCTTGTAAAATATCACCCTCATTCCAGGTTATTAGTTTACTAAACGTTCTCTGAACTGCTTCCAGCACATCTACATCCGTCCTTAAATAAGACAGAAAATATTTTTCTTTTTTCTTTTTATGATTTTATTATCACGTGTATTTATTCGTTTATATGATGACACTGACGATATCTGGGCCAGCAGTTATTGTCCATCCCTGACTATCCCTTGAGAAACTGGTGATGATCTGTCTTCTTGAACGATTGTGGTCCCAATGCTGTCAGTAGACACACAACACTTTAAGGCAGGAATTCAAGGATTTTGACCCAGTACTGCGCACAGTGTTCCAGATTCGCTCTCATCAAAGCACTGTATAATTAAAGAATAACCTCTCTTCTCTTAAATTCAAATCCCCTCCTGGCAAATTCTACGAGATTTCCCTATTGATTTTTCTATGCGCATGCTAACCTTTTGTAACTCATGCACTAAGACAGACAGATGTCCCTGCATCTCAAAGCTTTGCAATCTCTCACCACTTGGATTATATTCCTCTGTTTTTTACTTCCTGCCAAATGGGCAATCTCACATTTTCAAACATTGTGCTACATTTGCCATGTCTTTTCCCACTCAACTAACCCCTCTATGTCCCAATTAGTATTGTTAAACTGTCTTTGCAATTTGCAGTGGACCCCAAAATCATTTTGGCAACAGTACTGAAGACGTTTTCTCCAGGAATTGCCACTACCCTACTTAAGCTACTTTAGTACTGCTGCAATAATAGCATCTACCCAACAATATAGAAAAATAGTCATGCACGTCCTGTCCAATCAAAACAGGACAAAATCAACTCACCCAATTGCAACTGATCAGTCTACACTTGAACGTCAGTAACTTGATGTATGAGTTCATCAATAGTGCTATCATGCTGCACTTTTCTGATCAATAACCTGCTCACTGATGCTCAGTTAATGTGTAGCCAGGATCATTCATCTCCTGACTACATCACAGCCCCTGGTTCATTCATGGATCTCCTCACTTATCCTATCTGCTGACACCAGTGAATTCACACTGAGGAGAGGCTGTTTACCTGCTTCATGCTTGTGAAGAGTTTCCCTCATTCAGCCCACATTTTGTTACTTTTGTTTATTTTACGTTGTTTACGTTACATAGCTTAAGAAAGGCATTCATCGCAAAAATAGTGTGAGTGAACCCACTCTGCACTGATTCAAACACAAATATATAAATTTTTAAACGAAGGACGTCAACATCCTGCGCAGTACTCCAGTTGTGCTTTTTCCAAGATCCCATACAGCTGCAATAATATTTCTGTACTCTTGTCTTCCATTGCCCTCACAATAGGGAACATGTTGCCACTTGGCTTCTTAAACACGTGTTATACCGGCATATTAACGTTTTGTGGTTTCTATATCAGAGCTCTCAGATTCTACCGTCCCTCTGAATTTGACAATCTTCCTTTCAATATTATACAACGTAATGATCTCAGCTGATGTTCCCATCAGACAAGTCAGACCCCAGAATTTTTTAAAAATGTTAATGTCATGGTCTTTCATGAAATATAAACACACAATGCAGCATATTTGATTTCAGTTATAAAACAGTAATTTATTATATGAGAACATGAAAGAAAAAACAAACTAAGCATCCAAAACACAGCACCACAAAATTCCATCTAACCCCAAACACTGTACACTTAATGCAAATACAGAGAAAAATGTTCTTCCCTACCAATTCTGTAGGTTGAAGTAATCACTTCTTTACAGTTCTCATTCTGTGAGCTGCGAAACCTTTTTCTTTAACTCACCCAACTGTAGACCTTACAGAGAGATGACTTTTTCTCTTAAGCGTTCTGAACATAGTCATGTTTTTTTCTAGGACAAACTATTTATATTTGTAACCTCAGTCAGGTCTCCTGAAAAACACATCTCTGTGTTTTCTTACCTGAAACTCATCCTTTATTATTTGCTACAACACCTTGCTGTCCTGGGTCTGCTGCAATGATCCCAAGACACGCAACACAACTCAAGAAAAATGCCTAATTTTCCTCTCATGCACCTTACAGCCTCCAAAACCCAACTTCACATTTTCGGAACCTGACCGTATGATGTCTGTTCTCAATTTTTCTGACATTCATAGAAACATGGTGATTAGTTTCAGGAGTCAACCCGTCAGTGCTCCAAGCCTTCTCTACCATTCAGTCTCATCACGGCTGATCATTCAGCACAGCATCCTTCCCCTGTCTTCCTTCATACCCTTTCATCCCTTTAGTCCTAAGAACTACACCTATGTCCTTCTTGTTTTGGGCTCAAACGTTTACTGTGGCAGAGAATCGCAAAGGCTCACCAGTCTCTAAGCAAATAAATTTCTCCTAATCTCTGTCTTAAATGGCTTTCCCTGCATTCTTCGACAGTGATCCCTGGTTATGGACTCCCCAGTCACCAGGAATATCCCTCCTGCATTTACCTTGTCTAGTCCTGTTAGAATTTTATAAGTTTCAATGTGAACCTCCCTTATTCTTATAAATTCTATTGAATATTATGCTATGCATTCCAGTATCAGTCCTTCATGCAGCAGCCTTGCCATCCCAAGAATCAGTCTGGTAAACCTCCATTGCACTCCATCCATAGCCAGAACACCTTTCCTCAGATAAGGAGACTAAAATTCACACAATAGTGCAGGTGTAGTGTCACCAAGGCCCTAAAATTGCAGCGAGACATCACTGCTCCTGAACTGGAATTCTCTCGCCAACGGACATTTGTCTGCTTATAAGAGATAACAAGGTGTAGAGCTGGATGAACACAGCAGGCCAAGCAGCATCAGAGGAGCAGGAAAGCTGACGTTTCGGGTCTAGACCCTTCTTCAGAAAGGGTCTGCTTCACTGCTTGTTGCAGTCGTCCTCCCTCTCCCCCCCCTCCCATTGTCTTCTCCTCGGTTTTACTGCGTTGCTGCTTTTGTGTCTGACAGGCAAGCTGAATGACTGATGTCTCGCCCATGTAATTAACACACATCTGATTCCTCACCACTGTGTAATGTACCTTTTCCTTGCCTGGTGAAAAGCCGGTGACATACAGTTCCTGATGAATTCCATGACTCCATTTGCTCAGAGTATGACACATGATCCGCAAAACCTTCTTTTGCACTGTGCTGGAAAAAAAATTTGAATGAGAAAGAAAAAATGTGACAGCGGGCCTAGAAAATACAAAGGCAGGTTTTGAAATTGATTTGAATGAATCTGCTAAGTAGGAAAGTACAATCATGAAAGCTGATGGATTGTCATAAAGCCAAAGTTGTTGAATAATATTAATCAGGGAAGGTAATTCGTTTGATCTCCTACTGGAATGTTAGATGTGGGGAAGAAAGAGAGAGGGAGAGAGGGACGGAGTAAGAATGAGAGAGGGGGAGAGAATGCGAAAGACGGGGGAGAATGAAAGGGATTAGACAGAGAGAGAAGGCAAAAGAAATAGAGTGAAAGGGAGAAAGGAAGCAACAAAAAGTGGGGAGGATGTATAGGAGAGACAGAGAGAGAAATAAAAGAAGGAGAGAGATCAGAAAGGGAGAAGGTGAGAAGGGATGAGGGGGAAGTCACACAGAGAGAGAGAAACATAGAAAATATGAGAGGTATAAAGAGTCCGTAAGCGTAGGAGAGAGAGAGAGAGAGAGAGAGAGAGAGAGAATGACAGAGACTTAGCAAGAGAAAAATGGAGAAATGAAATGAGGGGGAGGAAGAGGGATTTCATAAATTTGCAACTCAATCAGAACTTCGGTAGAACTATCCAACCCCAAGACTTCCATGCATTGGAAGGGAAAGGGCAGCAAACACATGTAAATGCAATCATTTTCAAGTTCCCTTTCAAATTATCGACTTTGCAGTATTTGATCTTTCTGCAACCCTTGCTGAGTCACAGTCGTTGAATGCAGGATGTTGCCGAATGAAATGGTCAAAGTACCTTCACAAGATGCTTGCTCAAGTAGAAGATGGCCCATGATTGTCCTCTCAAAGGCTAACCAGGGATGAACGATTACCTTTCTCCTCAGGCTACACCCCTAGAATTAAAAGCCTTCACTGTATAATTTGTTCAAATACAATCTCCCCCTGTACGTGTATGGACAGTGTTTCAGAGATAGTAGGAACTACAGATGCTGGAGAATATGAGATACCAAGGTGTAGAGCTGGATGAACACAGCAGGCCAAGCAGCATCAGAAGAGCAGGAAGGCTAACGTTTTGGGCCTAGACCCTTCTTCAGAAATGGGAGAGGGGAAGGGGTTTCTGAAATAAATAGGGAGAGAGGGGGAGGCGGAGAGAGGGGGAGGCGAATAGAAGATGGATAGAGGAGAAGATAGGTGGAGAGGAGACAGACAGCTCAAAGAGGTGGGGATGGAGCCAGTAAAGATGAGTGTAGGTGAGGAGTTAGGGAGGAGATAGGTCAGTCCAGGGAGGACGGACAGGTCAAGGGGGCGGGATGAGGTTAGCAGGTAGGAGATCGGGGTGGGGCTTGAGGTCAGAGGAGGGGATGGGTGGGAGGAAGGACAGGTTAGGGAGGCGGGGACAAGCTGGGCTGGTTTTGGGATGTGGTAGGGGGAGGGGAGATTTTGAAGCTTGTGAAATCCACATTGATACCATTGGGCTGCAGGGTTCCCAAACGGAATATGAGTTGCTGTTCCTGCAACCTTTGGATTGCATTGTTGTGGCACTGCAGGAGGCCGAGGATGGACATGTCGTCTGAGGAATGGGAGGTGGAGTTGAAATGGTTTGTGACTGGGAGGTGCAGTTGTTTAGTGCGAACCAAGCGTAGGTGTTCTGCAAAGTGGCCCCCAAGCCTCTGCTTGGTTTCCCCGATGTACAGGACGTCACAACGGGAACAGCGGATACAGTATACCACATTAGCAAATGTGCAGGTGAACATCTGCTTGATGTGGAAAGTCTTCTTGGGGCCTGGGTTGGGGGTGAGGGGGGAGGTACAGGGGCAGGTGTAGCACTTCCTGCGGTTGCAGGGAAAAGTGCTAGGTGTGGTGGAGCTGGAGGGGAGTGTGCAGTGGTCAAGGGAGTCACAGACAGAGTGGTCCCTCTGGAAAGTAGATAAGGGTGGGGAGGGAAAAATGTCTTTGGTGGTGGGGTCGGATTGCAGATGGCAGAAGTGTCGTGGGATGATATGTTGGATCCGGAGGTTGGTGGGGTGGTAAGTGAGGACGAGGGGGTTTCTGTTTTGGTTGTTATTGCGGGAAGGGGGTGTGAGGGATGAGTTGTGGGAAATGTGGGAGACATGGTCGAGGGCGTTCTCGACCACTGAGGGGGGGAAGTTGCGGTCCTTGAAAAACGAGGACATCTGAGATGTACGGGAGTGGAATGCCTCATCCTGGGAGCAGATACAGCGGAGGCGAAGGAATTGGGAATAGGGGATGGCATTTTTGCAGGAAGGTGGGTGGGAGGAGGTGTATTCTAGGTAGCTGAGGGTGTCGGTGGGCTTGAAATGGATAATGGTTTCCAGGTGGTTGCCAGAGATGGAAACAGAGAGGTCCAGGAAGTAGAGAGAGGTATCAGAGATGGTCCAGGTGAGCTTAAGGTTGGGGTGGAAGGTATTGGGTGAAGTGAATGAACTGTCGAGCTCCTCGTGGGAGCACAAGGTGGCGCCGATACAGTCGTCGATGTAACGGAGGAAGAGGTGGGGTTTAGGGCCAGTGTAGCTAAGAACGAGGGATTGGTCCATGTAACCTACAAAGAGGCAGGCATAGCTTGGGCCCATGCAGGTACCCATGGCCACCCCCTTTCTCTGTAGGAAGTGGGAGGAATTGAAAGAGAAGTTGTAGAGGGTGAGGACGAGTTCAGCTAAGCGGATGAGGGTGTCAGTGGCGGGGGACTGGTCGGGCCTGCGGGACAGGAAGAAGCGACAGATGACATGTCCATCCTGGAACTCCTGCAGTGCCACAACGATGCTACCCGAAGGTTGCAGGAACAGCACCTCATATTCCGCTTGGGAACCCTGCAGCCCAATCGTATCAATTGGATTTCACAAGCTTCAACATCTCACCTCCCCCTACAGCATCCCAAAACCAGCTCAGCTTGTCCCCGCCTCCTTAACCTATTCTTCCTTCCATCTATCCCCTCCTCTGACCTCAAGCCCCACCCCCATCTCCTACCTGCTAACCTCATCCCGCCCCTTTGACTTGTCCGTCCTCCCTGGACTGACATATCTCCTCCCTAACTCCCCACCTACACTCACCTTTACTGGCTCCATCCCCGCCTCTTTGACCTGTCTGTCTCCTCTCCACCTATCTTCTCCTCTATCCATCTTCTATCCACCTCCCCCTCTCTCCCTATTTATTTCAGAACCCCCTTCCCCATCCCCATTTCTGAAGAAGGGTCTCGGCCTGAAACGTCAGCCTTCCTGCTCCTCTGATGCTGCTTGGCCTGCTGTGTTCATCCGACTCTACACCTTGGTATCTCAGATTCTCCAGCATCTGCAGTTCCTACTATCTCTGAAACAATTTTAACCCCACTCCGAATTCTCTTCTAAGGATGCCTACTTTGTAGAAGTTAACCTCCTCCCTCTAGAAAAACCTCAGTGGATCTCTCTCCCACTGCAACTCTCTCGTAATCTCGTCGGCCCTGAAACTGCTCAACCACGTCCTGAAGCAAACCAGGTACTACAGCCACATCACCATTCTTAGTACCTGCCTACAGAAGCAGATCATCCCCAATGGACCAGAGTCCACATTTAGGCCTTCCCAATTTGGCCCCAACCACGACAATGTCTACATTCAGAACATTGAAATCCTTCAGAAGCATTTCTCCCTGAGACTACTGAAACACACACTCGCAGTGATGCGCCGGCATCTCCTGGCACTACAATCAAGCCTACCCCAGCTCAGAGAATCCCTCTCCCAGACCTGCAAAGGACGTCTCCTGTTTTTTATTCTTCGTAGGATCCACAACCTGAACTCACAATTCTACTCAGCTTTATTGGACACTAAAAACCGTAAGTACAGTAAACTTACTGGTGCCTGCCACCCAAAACGGGCTTCCTCCACTCCCCAAATCCCCACCCTACCCAGGACCTTCCCCACAATGTGCCCGCCACAATTGGCCAAGTGGCCACTGTCGGAGCACCCACGGATGACGTCACATCCGCCACCGCCGGGTGCACCACTTCCGGGACAGCGAACGCCATCGACACAGTTGCTGATGCCACCGCCTCCATTTCTGAGGCCAACACCACTGACACTGAGGACGCACCTGCTCATACCGCTGCTGCCGCCGCCTACCCCGCGCTGCCCACCGCTTCCACAGCCAGCTGCTCCAGAGGAGACTGTAGCCCCCAGCCCTGCTGGGTCTTCACCATCCCCCCAGACCTCCTCTTTACTGAGAACGAATGGTCAGTCCTCAGTAAAGGGCTCACCTTTGTCCCCCTCCACCCATGCATCAATGAATACAGCTCACGCTTGGACGTTGAGCAGTTTTTCCACCGCCTCCGCCTCCATGCTTACTTCTTCAACCGTGAACCTAACCGTCCCTCTACTGACCCCTTCTCCCGCCTCCAACACACCCACTCCTCTTGGACACCACCCCAAGGCCGCCTACCCTCCCTCAACCTCTTCATCTCCAACTGCCGTCGCGACATCGATTGCCTCAAGCTCTCCACCCCTCTCACCCACTCCAACCTCTCCCCCACAGAACGTGCAGCCCTCCGCTCCAATCCCAACCTCACCATAAAACCCACGGACAAGGGAGGCACAGTTGTAGTATGGCGCACTGACCTCTACATCGCCGAGGCCAGGCGCCAACTCTCCGACACCTCCTCCTACCTCCCCCTTGATCATGACCCCACCCCCGACCACCAAACTATCATCTCCCAAACCATCCACAACCTCATCACCTCAGGTGACCTCCCATCCAGAGCCTCCAACTTCATCGTTCCCTAACCCCGCACCACCCGCTTCTATCTCCTTCCCAAAATCCACAAACCTGACTGCCCTGGTCGACCCATTGTCTCCGCCTCCTCCTGCCCCACCAAACTTATCTCCACCTATCTCGACTCCATTTTCTCCCCCTTGGTCCAGGAACTCCCTACTTAT